AGGAACAGTAATAGACCGGGACGGAGATGAAGTAAATGATGAAAGCCAGTACTCTGCTGGTCCTTCGAAACGCCCCCGTGAGTCATATCCTCTAGAATTTTATCATTCATCATATGGGAAAAGTGTTGCTCCTGTACTGTCAATTGGTTTTGAGGTTGGAACGGATGCCCAAAGAGATGACCCTTTCAACCAAGTCCATGACCAGGTTTTCGGTTTCCGATCTAGGAGAGATTCAACACGTGTTTCATCTGTTATTGCTATGGACACATTTCATAGTGCTGATGGTGATTCAATGGAAAGTGTGGAAAACTATCCAGGAGATGTTGGTGATATCCAGTTCCCTTCAACATCGGGTGTAAAAAGCACTGATCCCTTTGAAATGTCCGATTTAAACTATAGCAATCAAGCACAACAGAGTGCCTGTCCTGCTATGGCTATTAGGAGTGCTGGTGATATTGGTGTTAGTAGCACCAACGATGAGGAAGTATTAAATGCAGATACTGCGACTGCTCATGTGAGGGATGGCTTTAGTTTTGGAATTAGTGGAGGGAGCATTGGAATGGGTGCCAGTCATGAAGCTGAAATTCACGGGATGGATAATTCTGTGCATAGAACTGATAGTGTTGTTGGTGATGTGGAACCGGTTGCTGAAGTCACAGAAAATGAGGGTCAAACAGGTGAATACGGTCCTGATCCTGGTCTTATGGGTGACTATGTGCCAGAGGGGATGGACCGAGAGGATCCTCATGGTGATAGTCAAGATCTAACATCTCGATCAGTGGGAAGAGCTGACAGTGGCTCAAAAGTTCTTGGCTCAACCAAGGAAGAATCCATTGAAAGTGCTGAAAAGACTGATGTCAGGCATGCCATGCCTAATAATAGTCTACATCCCTCTCTTTCTTGCAATGCTATTTTATTATCTGTGCATGATACATCAAAGGAAGAGGTTAACCAGGCTGCCGATGCACTGGCTACTGAAGATGGTGGATATGTGGTGGAGTCAGGCTTAGTATTTACCAAGGGGACAGGTAATGGTATCAGCGCTATTCTGTTTGCCAAACTCATGCCCTTACTGCTGTGTATAGGGATGCTAATACATCTTAAGTTCTGATTATTTTGCACAATAATAAGATTTGAGTAGTTTTTAGCTTGGGAATATGATGTAACAAAGCAAAATAGCTCACTAAACTGTCTGTGCGCTTCTTTGTTCTGAAGCACAGTCAGTCCATGCAATTTTCGATGCGATTTTCATCATGGGTCATCCAAAAACAGTCTCTTTGTGCTTTAGTATAGGGGTAAGGCTGTGTTCATCCAACCCCCCTTACCTCGCCGTAGGTGGGAGCCTTTGCTGCACTGGGGTAATGTTGTTGTAATAAGATTTGAGTATTATTATCTGACTGATGTTCATCATGCATAGATTTAGAACACTTCAGTGACAACATGATTGTTGTAATGGACATTATTTAGATAATGGAATGTTTGGCAGGCCATTGTAGTTTTTTGTTTCTATGATCAAGTCATATTTTATTCCCAATTAGTTCTATTTAGTTCACTTTTATAATTAAATGGAATGTATTTTCCAGGTCCTCCCAATGGAGGAAGCGGATATAAAGAAGCCATTGAATTTGATCCTGTTAACCACCATAACCCTTTCTGCCCTTGGGTCAATGGGAATGTTGCAGCAGCTGGGTGTACCAGTAGTGGTGGCTCCAGCTCTAGTGCTGGCGCTCTTGCTCTTTGCGGCTGGCAACTAACTTTGGATGCTTTGGATTCTCTTTCAATTGGAAATGTTCCGATTCAAACTGTGGAGTCTGAATCAGCTGCTTCTTTATATAAGGTATACAAATCTATTCTGTATTCTTAGCCACATCCGGCCCTATATTCATCTTGACTCTATTCATTTACTTGAGGGCGGTGTACAAGAGGCCTGATACTTTGGGTTCGGTGGAGTTTTTTCCTGTCATTTAGTCCTTGATTGTTGGCAGTGTTGCGATTAATTGTTGGTGAAATTTACATTTTGTATTTGCAGGATGATCATCGATCTGCTGGCAAAAAACTCATGACTCGAAACTCATATAGCAAAACCCATGGGGGAAACTAACTGGAGTCTCTAAATGAGTTCAAACCTGGTACTCTTATTCACTATTTTAATTTTTTCTAATCCATAAACAAGTGTGTTTTTTGAGTTTTCTGGATATAATTGTATATGGTTCTATTACACTTTTACCATTCCATGCAAGATGTGATTTTGTCTTGGTGGTTGCTCATTGATATTACTCTATGGATCAGAGTATTGAACTTGAAGTTTACTGGATAAGTTGAAAAGTTTAGATACAAGTGCTGAACTCTTTTCTTTAAACTCCATATGACTAGATTCAATGATTTATGCCTGTGTGAACTCTACCTAATATCTCTGTGTTTTTGCTCCATTGCCCTTTTTTAAGAAGTAGTGAGATAAGTGGTAGATTATGCAAAATTTCTAAGTTTACAAAAAAAAAATGAATATGGAAGGAGTATATATTAAGAACTCAGTAACTCATCAATTAACAACCTGGTGCATGGCTTGTAAGAATTTGCTCTTTTTATAAAAAAGAATTGAGCATTCAGTAATTTCTAAGATTACAAAAAATGAATTTGGCCGTTGCATTTATTAAGAACTTAGATAACTTATCACTTAGTTAACTTATCAATGCAGTCCGGTGCATTTCATTAATGCTATAAGATTTTGCTTTTTGTATGCTTAAGTTGAGCATTAACTTATCCTTTGGTTTGGATTCAGGATTTTGGGGGTCCTGCCCTGATATATTGAACGATTTATTCTCTTGTGATGTTCTGTCGACAACAAGAAGATGCCCTTTTTATGTTACTGCTGCGTGGATGTATTCTCTTTAGCAAATCTGACTGACTGCAATCCTTGTTCAGTTTCTTCTCTCTAATTTATTTTATTTTATTTCTTTATAGCTTAATCAATAATATCTCTTGTAGAATGGCAATACCAATGTAGCTTGGTGGAAAATTTGATAATGGTAATTTATAGGAACATTGAGAAACTATTGTCATTGATTCAGTATACCGGCGTAGGCATTTTTCGTCTCTTTAGTTAAAATAAACTATCTTCGTTAGCTCAAGGAACATACCAAAACTCGCATTAGTATAGCTTATTGTATTTCAATCAGAAACAATTCTATCCCGTTATACTACTATAACTCTATAAGGTTATAGTTATTACTTTACTAAAAACACATATTATTGATTTTGATAATAATATATTGTGTATTGATTCAACCCTCTTTTTCTGAAGGCTTTACTACCAGTTTCAACCCTCCCAACAAATCGTGGAAGATGTGAATACCTAGAGTAAAAAACACTGAAATGTTTCCGAACGATTCGCCAATTACTTTTGACTCTTTACATTGACTTCATAAAATACTTTTACTGAATATGTGAAATCTACTTGTTGCTTTTTGGGTAAATTATTCTTTGGTCTTATTTATACAAAAAACTATATTTTTTGGATGTAACTAGTTATATGTAAAATACCTATTGTAGACTAGTTTTGGGTAAATTATTTATCGGTCTTGTTTATACGGAGTATATTAAATCACCCAAAGCTAATAAGCAGCTTTTTCACATCCATTCATTGATACTATATTTTTCAAGTCTTACATATCTGTAATTTCATACTTCCTTTGTTCGGAAATAATTGCAACATGACCTTGGGCGCAAAGATTAAGGAAAGCTGATAAAGCATTAGATTAAGGAAAGCTGATAAAGCATTTCCTTTGTAGTTCTACCCTTTCTCGGTCATCTTCTCTACCCAACTGAACAAATTTCTGACAGCGGCTCCATTTTCTCTTAGCCATGAATTCGGTCACCTTTTTTCTACCTTTTAGCTCCTTACTCCCAATGATGCCTCTTAATCTTTAGACAGAATATTACGAAGCAAAGTATTTTCTTTATCTATAATTCAATTTTTGAGTTATCTCATTAATTTCTTTACTCCATTCCAAGTTCGAACTCTCCCAAGAACCACATTTTCTCTACAATTTATTTTCATTGAAGGTTGAAGGTTCCATTCTTCAAAAATCTATTTTTTTTGTATCTCAAACTTTTTAGTTTTTCTACGGGCATAACAGCCCATAAAAAGAAAGAAAAGGAGGGGGGAAGAAAATATAAAAAGGAAATAAATTAAAAGAGAAATGTGTGAAATCTTAAGCAAGTTAAAAGAAGAGTGGAAGTAAAAAGAATGGTAGGAAGCAAAGAATGAAAGAAGAAATGAAAGAAGATAAGTGGATAGTCATGGTCCTCATGGACCCGGTTCGGGCCGCCCGGCCCGGGACCGGCCCAGCCCGGGACCGGCCCGGCCCGCTACTGTGCGGAACTGGAACCGGACCGGTTCTCGGGTCCAGGTCTGGGTCGGGCCTAGGCCCGGTGGGGGGCGGGTCCGGGCTCGGGCCTTGTATTTGGCGAACCGGCCGGGGTCGGGCCCGGGTCCGGGCCGAATTGATTTTTTTTTCATTTTTTTTTTCATTTTTTGGGGTTACCCGGGTTGGGCTTGATGGTTAGGAGGGGTTTGGGGGGTTTGGGGGGGTGGGGGTGGGGTTAGGAAAGCAAAAAAACTATATGACCAAACCGGAGGCCCGGCCCGACCCGGACCCGGTGGCTACCCAGGCCGGTCCCGGGCCTTCCTTCCCAAAAAAAAAGCCCGGCCGGGCCCGGCCCGGAACCGGAACCGGCCCGGCCCGGGTCCATGACTATAAGTGGATGACCATGGAATTGAAAAGGAGAAGAAACGGGAGATAATGGCGAAAGGTATAGCTCAGGATTTGGAAGTATATGACAGGTAGGTGAAAATATTTAATCGGGTGGTATCAAATGGGTTTAAGGGTATAATAGTCTCAGTGGGTACTTTTATATCCTAAATTGGAAATGCTGCAATTATTTTGAAACTGTCGAAAAAGGAAAGTGTTGCAATTATTTAAGAACGAGAAAGTATTTATCTACGACTATTTCACATATATATAGATATATCCTTCTCACAACCAAGTACAAAAACGTACAACATACAACAGCAATTGTTATATATGTAATCAAAATGTTATAATATTTGCAGTCTCTTAAGACAAGATTATGACAACAACACAGCATGGTTACATACTTTTGACTATTTCTCTTGAACCCCCACGGCCCCACCCCATGCACAAACAGGGAAAAAGTATTCTGATAACTTGAAGGGTGACATACTTTTCGACTATTTAAACATTGTGTCGTACCAGCTAGTTAAGTATCTAAGCTAAGCCAAATGCAAAACATGCATACACTGAAGTGTATGTATAAGATGACAGATGACCAAAGCTGGCCGGCCTTATCAGCTTCCGATCAGAAAGCGGGAATTTCAATGCCCTTGCTATTGTGCAAGACAACAGGAGCATCATACTTGCTGAAGAGTCTGTAGGAAGAAATGAGCGAAATGGCGACATAAGATAGGCTGACAGTGAATGTGATCGCAACGGATGTGGTGGCCTTGTGGCAAAACCCGCCAAACGTCCCACAACTTTCACTCCATGTGGTGGCGCTGTCCCCTTTGTAGTCCAGGTAAACCACCTCAGTTGCCACTGCTCCAGCCGCTAGTACCACGTATGTAAGGAGCTGTAGATCAGAACAGTATATATAGATAAGTGTGCAGATCCAATGTGTAGGAAGATTATTAGAGTTAAATGGAGCAATGTGGTCATGATCATTTCATCACTTTACAAATTACATTACAATGAAGTAAAAAACAGGTCACTCTTGGAGGTCAGTGACACCCGGTCTGGAACTCTGGATCTCCAAGTAGAAAGTATCAAGTCATGAATCCTACAAGTTATCTTTATACTACTGTCCCAATGTCCAATTAGACATTACCAACTTTATGTACTGTGTGAATTAAATAATAAAAATAGTAAAAGTTATGTGATTAAGATTTGTGTAGAGAAATGAGCAGAATCATAAATTCATTACTTTCCGGGAAAATCCAATAGTACGGAGGGAGTATAAATATACTGTCTTATGCGATGGCGTTATACTTTCAAATGTGGGATAACTTGACAGATTTCGTCATTTCCGAATTCCGAATAGGTTCCTACTTGGTTTCTCATGTAAAAAATCGGGAGATTCAATCCGATTCCGAGAATCCCGAATCGGACCGGAGGGTGGAAATCCGGACAGTGCCATTTGGCCCGCACCCATGCCAATATGAAATGCTCCGACCCACGTGGAAATAAGTTAGTTAATCTAGCCTAGCTATGATCAACTTGGCATTAATTTCTACGCGCCCTTGCCCTAGTCTACTTTTGCTTGTGAAATGTGAACACTCATTTTGTTTTGGTAGTCTCATAATGACAAAGTGCTGGATATAACTGTCAGCAGTGTACCTCTTTATTTTTGTACTCATTATTTTGGTGCATAGTCCCATTATACTGGGAGTTCAAAAAGCTCTTAATGCGTGCTCAATTAGGACTTCGTATATATTTACGTTTTTTCCACTCTTGCTCATTACACACAAACACACACATATATATCATTTTCTGCACATTAATTTCCATTATTAATCACTTAGTATTATGGCAATAAGGAAAATGGGCAAACACTCCCTTAGTTTTTATTAAGGTCCAAATGTACCCCAATGTTTTTTAAAGAGTCATGTATGACTCTCTTATGGAGTCATATAATTAAGGGCTACATCTTATTTGCTGGTTGACAAAACCTCTCAGAAAGTACGTACTACCACATGAGACTAGACATGGACACATTAGCCCATGCCTAGTCTATATATATGACATTTTTTCTCTAGCTCATGCGATCATGTCTAGAGATAAAACAAGTAGGAGATATTCATTGTTTGCAGGTCTTATATATAGGCTCCTCATTCGAGTTTGAGCATGCTATTCGAGTCTGAATATAGAAAAACTAATGAGCAAGACTTGAGTCGAGCTCAAGCCCAGCACGAATCGAGTTTGGGCAAATTTATTAGGCTCATTTGAGTTCGAGCTCGAACTAGTGCATCCTTATCAAGATCAAGTTCAACCCGACTCGTTTACATCCCTACTTGTATATGAGAGTCGAATGATAAAAGTGACAAAAACTCTAACTTAAAGAGGGTTTTCCATGAAATATTTTTTGAAAAAAGTGAATAAAATGTGACTTAAGTCATTATAGTATGATTGTATAGCCTCGTGTAAAATCTAAACATAATTGTAGTCACTAAAATTAATAAGTCACATTGTTATCTACTTCGGGCTGTGAATCTAAAGTTATTAACATTAGAGGCTGGATGAAGAGATGAACAAGGAAGATGAAGTTTTGATTGTACGTCCACCTCGTGAAATGCTCGCTGCCTTGGAGTGACCGTGTGGCTAGGGAATGGAAGGCGACACTTCAAGGTTGGATTGGACCACTTGCGGTTTCTTGTTCCATTTTTATTTTAAGCTTTAGTTTTCTTTCTTTAGACTTTTTGAACTTAGTTTTGGTTTGATTGTGTTAGTGCCTCGAAGCTCCCGTATGTTCAGCGAAAAGTTTTGCTCTATTGTTAGTGAACTCTTTTATGCCTGATTATGGTCTAAGGGGGCGTTTCAGCTATTTTGGGGTTTTTTGAAGTGTGCAAGAGTATATTGACCTTAAGGATAAAAAAGAACACTATATTGCTCGTTTGATGGTTGGCGATTCACTCTCCTTTGGTAATGACCGTCTCAAAATCTGACTGTAGGTGGAGTTTTGAACTTCTGGCTGATTTTAGCTGCATACGTTTATTTATATTGATGTAGTTTGGCAATTTCCTTTCAAATTGTTTGTCACTTCACAACTTAATACTCATTTTAAAAAACAATATTTCACATGAATAACTAATTACTTTTGAAAAAAGTAACCAGTGCATTTTTGAGTCCTCCGGGTCAGCCCGTTAAAAGTAGACAATTACTCCCAAGTTTGAGCGAAAAAGGGATTAGTAAAGTAAAAATTGTGTAGTTGAGGTTTGTGCAGAGGAGAAATAATTAACATGAACCGCAACTTATTTACTAAAAAGGGAAAGTGGAAAAGTTAATAAGACGACCCAAAAAGGAAAGTTGGAAACGTTTTAAGAAACAGATGGAGTATTAAATTTGTTAGTTAAAGTGCCGCCCAAGGTGCATAACCCTAAACCCTTAAAGGGAAAAGGTGCAAATAAGCCCATGTACTAACCAAAAAAGGTCAAATAAGCCCTTATTTAGGAGGCTCTGTCCGGCCGTCGTCATTTGGGGTGGTTCCCGGTGGAATTTTTTGATGAATTTTTTTTAGCATCTTATTCATCAAGTCTAGTTTACTCATACCAAATTTCAGCTAAAACTTCAATCGGGAAGGCATTCAAATAAATTCTTGAAAATAACTACTACTCCCCTCCCCATAACCAAGTTTGACCGGCACCTGAATTAATAAAGTAAAAATTATCTGATTAATGTTTGTGCATAGAAAAGAAAATTAAATGGAATCACAAATTATTTACTTAAAAGGAAAATTGGAAAAGTTAGGATATTATGTTGCACAAGAATATTATATTGCAAGTAGCAAAGGACCAAGGATAGGATAGAAAAGAACCTGATCAAGGAGGAAGAAGGTCCAAGCACGAGGCATACTGAAGGGCCTTGGTATGGCTGCAACCACGGCTGATAGAAGTGAATAACCCGCACATATTCCATTTGCGTGCACCAAATACCTGTAAAATATACATTACATGTACAATCATTATTCATAAGACTAAAACATACTCCATACTAATATCCTAATAACTTTCTTCAAATATCTGTGAATGGACTCCTCAATATGACTTTCAAGGTCAAAATTTGTTAGCGGTTAATTGTTTTAAAGGTACTACCCGTGTCCTCTTCAAAAGTTTAATTGGGAAATAGTACGATTATTTAGACAATAAAAAATATGTTTATTTGAATATATTTTGAAAAATAGGTTTGATGGATAGATATATAATATAATGCGTTTTTAAATGTTTATTTATGAGTGTTAATGTGATTGTTCCCAAAATAGAAAATGAAAATGTGACGACTATATAAAAGGAGTGTGAGAAGAGAAGGGTATTTCATTTTATGACATGAATATGATTGACATACTCCAATTTAATCCAAGTCAATTCCGGATAAATCTCAATAACTAGCACACAAATTATAAAATTGATCTGCTCTAATTGTCTATTACTCCCTCCATTCATGAAAATTCTTCACACCTTCCTTTTTGAGATGTTCCAAACAGTTCTTCCCAATTTTTACCGTTCATTTATTTACCGTTCATTTATAATATCTTCACAGCTTATTGAGTGTTCCATATTTATTGAATGGTTTAGCATAAAATAAAGAAATAAAAAGAGGTGAGAAGTAAAATGCATGTAGAGGAAAAGATGAGATGAGGACATACTTAAAGGGCACAACGTCAGAATAAGAAATGGAGCCAAAGTCCGTGTTACTTTGGGAGTTCTTGAGCATCAAAACCAGCGCCACCACACACAGAGCCATCGGAAAGAGGCGGAGCAGAGTCTCCGCCCTGCGGAACCCCGCGGCGGCGCTTCCTCTCTCGTCCTCCTGTGAAGAACTGCCAGCATTACCATCCGCCATACCCACAGCATTGTTGGGGGAGAAGACCGCGTTTGTTTGGTAAGTAACAGTTGCTTTGCCCTCCATCATCATGAAATTGATATTTCAACTATATCTTACAATATGTATATTCTTTCAATTCCTGATATACAGATGACAATGTTATATACTAATGTGTATATATCAGCGGCTTTGACTTGACTTACCTTGCCTAGCAACAGGACAACCTACAGAACTGACAAAATTGAAGAGAGAAAAGAGAGACGTGTGGGGAGTTAGTGGAGTGGAGCGCAGGGCAGGGAAGGCATAATTATAGAGAGGGAGGGGGTAGGGCATAGGAAGGTAGCTAGATTGGGCATGGAGGTAGTTGGGAGTAGCACTAAATGCTCATAAAACCTTCCCACACCTTTCATCAAACACATGGGCGGCATGCGCCCTCTTTCTTCATTGAAGACTGCCCTTTGTATTGTAATGTGTTGATCCTCTTCCTCCTTTCCAAGACTGGGTTCAGGGGCACTATACAGCTGCAGATTGCGTGCATGTGATTAATAGTAAATACTGATATCTTTGCATCCTTGTACGGGGCTTGCCGACCTCATAGGCGACCATGAGTAGTATCATGTAATCCCACTTAAGATTGTCTCATCTTTTCACTTTCGCGCCAAATTTGATAAATTTGTGTGTTTTAAATCATACTACAACCTCGGTTCAGAAATGGCTCATCAATTGATATTTGACTTCTTTGACTTCAATTAGTAATTTTGATTAAGTGATAATATTATTGTTTAGTATGACTAATTTGCTTGGCTTATTGAATGGAACCAACCGAAAGTTGAAACACTGGGAGGTATATCGTTTGAGTTTAATGGAACCTTCCATCATCAATTCAATATTAATTTCGTAGTATATAAATCCATTTTGTAATAAACGTACTACTTCTTCATGATTTAATGTTCGTGGTAGTGATACACTGATACTCCGTAATATATAACTAAGCTCATCATCATCATGATAATTACTCCTGTGTCGCAAAGGTTCCCACCTACGGTGTGATAAGAGGATCGGATGTACGCAACTTTACTCTTGTACTAAAACACAAAGAGACTGTTTTCGGACGATTTATGGTGAAAATCACGTCGAAAATTGCATGGACTGACTATTACGTACTTACGTAGTACTTTATAATAAAAAAAGCGCATATAATTTAGTAAGACATTTCAGGTATCTAATTAAGCTAACCGGCTTAATTAATTATGTAAATTCCAATTAAGGGGTGTTTGGATTTGATTCTCAAAACTGATTCTGCTTTTTCACGGAGCAGGAGCAGAAGCAGAAGCTGGAGTGTTTGGGTGAAATTCCAGAAGCACTTCTGGAGCTCTAATTTACTCTCAACTAAACATAATTGTTATGAACCCGAGTTTAAAGAATTCACACAAAGTTTCTTAATTAATTTCACATCCTTTATATTACTTCATTAAGCATCTCAAAACACTATTTATTAAAATATTTTTCATTCAACATGGTATGAAATAAGTTTTGGTAAATTTTATTAGTGAGATCTTACATTTTAATCATTATTTCGTCACATTGAAAATGTAAAAAAAATGGATCATTTATACAATTTACTCATTTATTTTGTCACATTGAAAACGTGATTAATAAGGATATTTTTAATTAGATTGATATTTTCAGTTCTAATTTGGTCTGAAGTAATACAGCGTGGAAGATGTCTATTTTATGCATGTATAATATAATAATAATAATAATTACTATTATAACTATTGTGATTATTATTATTATTATTATTATTATTATTATTAATATTATTATTATTATTATGATTGATGTTTGATCTGGTCTTGTCTGAATGTATGAAGATTTCCTAATTTGGATTAGGAATCTATTTCAAAAGTGAAGGAATATTTAAATTGTAGTTGTAAAAATAAAGAAACAACTAAACATATTTATGTTTAAAGGTATGTTTAAAGAAACATACTTGTAAAAATATATACATTTATATGTATGATATGAATTTTCATCTTAATAAAGGTAAGGTACTTGATCAGAAGTTTTAAATGTTTTCATATATGAACGTCTAATAGTATATCAATTTTATTTTTAAGTTAAAAAATCTTGTGGTTATAATTTCCATCTCTATCTCAACAACTAAGAAAGAATGGTATGAAGATGCAGCAAAATATGAAGTATTAACACAATTGCAAATCTAAGGCTTATAATTTTAATAATTATCGCATTGAGTTTATAAAACATTCAAAAAAAGATTGAGTTTAGAAAAATAAAATATTACAGTACATTTTAGGAAATGAAACACTATTATTACTTTTTTTATTTTTATAAAATATTTTTGAAGAACAAAATTAACAGGAATTTGGATGATTTATCTGTTAGGTGGGTAAAACACGGATAATTAATTTTCAATAGAATGTGATAAAAAGTATAAAAAATAATTAAGTAATTGATATAAAACGTAGTCTATTTATAGGAATGATTGTTTATTGTTTTGGTTACAATTGCTTAATTTAATAACTATCCAACTTAATACGGAGTAAGTAATATGTTCTTAAAAGTTACCAAATAAGGTGGATTCTATCCTATAGTCTTTTGTTTCCATATCAATATACAATAAAAATAGAATGTAATAAAAAATAAAGGTATAAAAAGTAATTAAATAATTGTTATATACGATGACATGACAGGATTATGTGGCACATTGTATGCTCTTAAAAAGTTCTTCTTTTATATATACCCGTGCGATGCACGGGTATATCTAGAGTATAGTGGCATATTGTTTAAAATCATATACGTAGTATATCCTAGGATGTTTTTACTTGGACTAAAATTTGCTGGTTTAGTCTGGTCTATTTAAGTATGATATGGTCTGGTCTGATCTGGTAAACGTCTAGTCTCTGCGTATTCTATAACTACGGAAGTATGATATGATCTGTACATAATAGGTAAATTTTATATAGAGATAAAAGTTGTATGTCTGTATAGTGGCATATTGTTTAAAATTATTTAAAACTTTTTAACCAATATCTTAACGGGATATAACTTTCACCTCCAAAATAATTTACTTATCCGAATAATAGTGAAGCGAGTCCAATTACAGGTAAATTATACCGTACACCCGGTTGTACGGTTCTCACCGTACAACCGGGTATTTTTGCAATCAATTACAAAGTCAATGATAAAGGTCTTTCGGTGTTCTCTGTTAAGCTGCTCGCTGCCCTGGGATCGGTGAAGGAGACGCAGACGCGATCGATTTTGCCCGCTCCCTGAGTTCGGATCGATGCTTGACTGCTGCTTGCTCGCTGCACAGATGGAAGATGTCTTCTGATACGTATTTTAGTTCTGCACCGATGGATGAAATCTTCTCGCTGAAGAATTCGTTGTGGGCTTGTGGGCTTCTATCGAAGAGGAAGTGTTATGCTTCGTGTTTCTTTTTTTATTGTGCTTCGTATTTTAGTCATTGGAATCCCAAAAATTTCAACTTGTAATTTAATGAAGATGATTTTTGAATTTTTGATACTCATTTTGTAGTTATGTATGCTCAATTAGTACTGATGTTCTGCTCATTTTAAATGTGACATTGATGCATGTCTTAAAAGTGTCATATACAATGATTCTAATACTTAATAGAGAAAATTTGATGCTCAGTGAAAATGTGTTGATGTACATCTAACAAAGTTTATGATTTTCATATCAATACTAATTTTGTAAGTTTGGTATGTTTATGCTATATTCATTTCAAAATTTCATATCAATGCATATTTCATAACTACCATATACGTGATTCAAATACACAATAAACGAAGTTGGTACTCAAAGAAAATGTTTTGATGATCAATTAACAAAGCTTATGACTTTAAAATCAATGCTCATTTTGTAAGTTAAGTATGCTCATTTGATATTGATGTTTGATCATTTTAAAATGTGATATAAATGCATATTTCAAAAGTATCATATTACATTAGATTCACATATTGATTATAGATATAATTTAATATTTTTTACAAAAAAATAAATACAAAGAAAGTGAATTAGAAGTTATGAAGCAGAGATCGTGATTCCTAATATTAGACTCCTAATACTCAACATAATTGTTCTGATGTTCATTAAAAGTTCATTAATGCTCATTATTCACCAGCAACCATGATTATCATCTCAATAACGGAGGTTTGATGCTCAGTTAAAATGTTGTGATGTTCAACTAACAAACCTTATGATTTTCATATCAATGTGCACTTTGTAAGTTGTGAATGTTCATTTGGTACTGATGTTATGCTCATTTTTTAAATGTCATATCAATGCATATTTTAAAAGTATCATATTACATTAGAATCACATATTTAAATTAATAGGAGTAGATAATAGATATAATTTAATAAATTTTTATAAAAGAAAATAATAGAAAAAGAAAAAAATAGAAGATATGAAGCAAAAATCGTTATACTCATTGTTAGCCTCTTACTACTCACTAAAATAGGTCAGATGCTCACCAAAATTACAATATTGCTCATTTAGCATAAGCCATGACTTTTCGCTTAAATTACAAAAATGCCACCGAAAAAAAAATGGCATGTACTGATTATTGGGCTGTTTTCATTACTGGGGCCGGATGTACATACATCCGGTTGTACAATATAGGCTCTCCCAATTACATACTCAGAGAAGATTTATCAAGCTTTCTCATTAGCATAGTAGAAACCTCAAACAATTCACTTTGAATAATGGGCGTGAGTTCAAAAAATATTTAAAATGAGATGCCAGATCTAATTACGATACATATGAAAAATACTATCCTCCGTCTCTTTTTAATCGCAACATGTTGAATTTTACACTATTCACATGTTCTATTTTGACTACATTTTATATTATTATTTTATGAAAATGATTTTTTTAAAATTATATTGTTCAATTCATCTCATTACAAATTTTCAAAAATCTAATTTTTAAATATTTTTTTTATAATAGGGATTAAGATATAATTACGATCAAAGATGTGCGTTGGTAAGTGTGAAATGTTGACCGTTGCAATTAAAAAAGAACGAAGTATATTTTTTCGAGTATTAAAATTAAGCTACTTGCATCGGTAATATCATTAGAAATAAAGAATAAATGCGGGTTACGTTATACGGAGTACATTATATTTATTACCATTAAATTTTTGAGTGTGGATTATAAACGAAAAGTTTTGTACACTTACTTTAAAAAATTGATTATTTTGGCCATTTTGACCTGTAATAGCAGGGGTTTTATATTAAATTCCTTTAAAAATTGTTAAAATTTCAATAAATATAGATTAAATTTGTGAAAATTTCATAATGTCAAAATCAATATTCTTAAAATTTTGAAATTATTTTATATTCTACATCTATTTAAAAGTTTTTACATTTTTCTATTTTTCTATTTTTACATTTCCACTTTATTTTTTTAGTTTTTGGTTTTTGATTGTTTTTAACATTTTTAAATCATTTATATATTTTTATATTTATGCTGTTTTTATATTATTATAACATTATTTTCAAATTTATATGAATATTTATAAAATTATCCTATTTTTGTATGATCTGCTATAGGAGATCAAAATGAATCGATTGATTCTATTTGAAAACTAAGTGTACTTATATGATGTTTTCCTTAAGAAAAGGGCTTACGTGATGGTTCGAAAACATTAGAAGTCTATTTGACACTTTTCCGATAAAAGTATTCAACCTGTCCCATGAGAATTTGCCAACTATTCTTAATTTATCAACATATATATCTCAAAATACTTTTCCATTCTCATTTAAAGTACACAATAAATATACAGTTAATGTTATTTCTTTCACCTCTACACAAATATAGATCACTCATAATTTATTTTCCTACTCCACGTGCAAATCAATTCTGGGGAAGTATCATGAGACGTAAGGATTAC